TGGAAACACAATGTCGACAAGTGTGGAAAACAGTAAAGCACAAATTAAAGTTGATAACATATGAATTTAAAATAACTGAAATTTCGATAATTTTTAGTGAAAATAAGAAATGCAACACTTTTATATCTTTTCCTATTCCTCCTTTTGGAATCAAACTAAGTATAAATAACAAATTCATTTGTGTAATTTATAATTAATCTATCAATTCAAAATTATACAATTATTTATTTTTCATCATCCATTCAATAATTTTAAAAAGCTAATGAAAAAAGGATGATATAAAAGTTAAGTAGCTAAGATAATTGAGTGACATTCATTAAAATAAGGGACACGTGCCTTGGTATCTCCAAATATGCCTTGAGCAACATCCATATTTTCAAAATCCTGGATACACTACTGATTTGTAACAAATGCTTGTGATGCCTCATAAATGTGACCCTGAAACAAATGGCCTTGTGATCCTCTGAGAGAATTCAATTCGTATGAAGTTTGTATAATTATGACGATATATTAATTTTAAAGAGAAAAAATATGCAGAACACTAAAAACAAAAATAATTATCATGTCGATATACTTAAATATTTATTTATAATTCTAAAACATATACAAAATGAAACGATGATAACTTGAAACACATCATTAAATTCTATTATGACTGAATTTAAAATAATATATTAAAATAGTGTAAAATTTTATTTTTACGTAATACAAATTATATTTCATTTATAAACGTATATAATGAACTGTCACTTTAATTTAAAATTTTATTTTAATATTACCAAGGTTTTTTTTTAATTCCACCAGCTCCACCTCCAAAGCCACCTCCATAACCACCTCCAAACCCACCACCAAATCCACCACCAAATCCACCGCCAAACCCACCTCCTCCTCCACTTCCGAAACCACCACCGCTACCTCCTCCGATTCCGCCACCTTTTCCACCGCCAATTCCTCCACCAATTCCGTCACCATGTCCACCTCCGAGTCCACCACCGCTACCTCCTCCGATTCCGCCACCTTTTCCACCGCCAATTCCTCCACCAATTCCGTCACCATGTCCACCTCCGAGTCCACCACCTTTTCCGCCTCCAATTCCGTCACCATGTCCACCTCCAACTCCTCCACCAATTCCGCCACCATGTCCACCTCCGAGTCCACCACCTTTTCCGCCTCCAATTCCACCGCCAATGCTTCCACCACGTCCACCTCCGAGTCCACCACCTATTCCTCCAGTTCCTCCAACATGTCCACCCCCGAGTCCTCCACCTTTTCCTCCACCTATTCCTCCAATACCTCCATCAATACCACCTCCAATTCCGCCACCAATACCACCATGTCCTCCGCCAATGCTTCCACCACGTCCACCTCCGAGTCCACCTCCTTTACCGCCTCCAATTCCACTACCATGTCCACCTCCGAGTCCGACACCTTTTCCACCTCCAATTCCTCCATCTAAACCACCTCTAATTCCACNCCGAGTCCGCCACCTTTTCCTCCACCTATTCCTCCAATACCTCCATCAATACCACCTCCAATTCCGCCACCAATACCACCATGTCCTCCGCCAATGCTTCCACCACGTCCACCTCCGAATCCACCTCCTTTACCGCCTCCAATTCCACTACCATGTCCGCCTCCAAGTCCGCCACCTTTTCCACCTCCAATTCCTCCATCTAAACCACCTCTAATTCCACCTTTTCCACCTCCTATTCCACCATCAATACCACCATGTCCACTGCCAATGCCTCCACCACGTCCGCCTCCGAGTCCACCACCTTTTTCGACACCTAATCCTCCAATACCTCCACGTCCACCTCCAATTCCTCCACCAATTCCGCCTCCATATCCTCCTCCGATTCCACCACCAATTCCTCTTCCACCTCTAATTCCACCAGTACCTTTTCCGCCACCAATTCCTCCACCAATACCACCATGTCCGCCTCCATGTCCGCCTCCAACTCCACCATCGAAACCACCGCCACCAGTTCCTTTTCCACCTCTAACTCCAATTATAAGAATTTTGCCGCCCGCAATTCTTCCTTGAACGTGGTCATCTGCACCTTCTTTTTCTCCACTAAATCCTACTCCAAAACCAGTACCTTTTCCACCTGCATGAGCATGGCTGAATACTTCTTTGTGCGCTAATATCACCGGTATACATACGAAAAGTATCTAAAAATAGTTTAACATTAACAAAAGTTGATTGTTTTTAAACATCAGTAAAATACTTCACAAAAAATAAAAGTAAAATTAATATAACTAAATATATAAATAAAATAACAGATTTAATTTTTACAAACTGATGCTACTATTTATCAAATAATATCCTGTGATTTAGATTCAGATATTTAATTTCTTTACTTATATAAATAATTTAAAATATTTATTAAAATATATAATGTACAAACGTATGTATAAGAAAGCTTCTTACCAGTAGTTTCATGCTTCCTGTTTTGAATATGTTTCAGATTGATATAGAAGAACAATTGGGATTTATATATATCCAGAAAGATCATAAGCAAAATTTCCCTTAAATTTTAAAAACATAACAGTAGATTTGCTTAGTCACGACGATTTATGTTTAATAGAAAAATTTACCGCTTCTGGAGTTTTCGAAGAATTTCTTTTTTAATTATGAATGCTTTCGTTATCTTGTTGCATTGTTTTTCTTATCGAATCTAAGAATCTCAAAACCAGAACGTTTGACATCCCATTCAAAATATCATAAACATCATAAGGAAACTTTCGTTAAATACCTTAAGTATTTATTTTTTAAAAATTCCTCACGATTTCAATAATAAAATCGTGAGAAATTTTTAAACAATTCTTTAGGCATTCATAGAAAATATATGAGAAAATTTTAGCCTATTCAAACACTTAAGCCACTTTTATATCATTTTTATCACATACATAAGTGGCTATGAATTTATTAAAGTTTTTTTGTTACATTTTAATTTTTTAATATTTTTTTAAAAGATTATTTTCTATTATAAAAGAAGAGCGAATCATCAAAAAATTGCTTAAAAATTCTTAAATATAAATAGTTTTTATATAATATATATAATTTCACGAAATAAAATATTTTTAATTTTAAAAGTAAATTTTGAATAATTATTTGAATTTTCACTTTGCTTTATGTCTATTCGATTCACTAAAATTTGAATATTCGATGCTTTATGATCAATACTCGTAGGCACTAAAAGTAAAAAGTAAAGGGAAATTGAGGCATTGAACCTTCTGAAGGCACAATTCAGATTAGTTTAATCAGTTATAAAACTTTACTTTTGCAAGAAAATAATGTAAATTTATATTCAAAAATAAAGAGCTTGGCTTATTGTTTAAACATTAAAGCTTTTTTAAAGGTAAATAACGCTAAAAATGCATGACTTTTTAAAGAAAGCATAATTTACACATCTTTCTCTCACACATATGTACTGTTTACTGTACACACATATTATATAATTGCATTAATTGTTTTCTTAAATATAAAAGAATATTTAATGCAAGCAAGATTTATTTATATAAAAACCTAGCAAAATATTTCTGACAATTATGTTAAACAATGTAATTCTAAAGTCACATTTTTTAAATTTTATTTCTGGATCATATATTCACACGATATCAAGGAAAACGTAAACCGACATATTTACTTTAATTCTTCAATAAAT